GAATTAACCACTGTCCTTTTAACAAACGGCCCTTGCCAAAGTCCCTAAATATTCTATTTTTACTGTTGACAAAACAAACTTTTCTCTATCTTTAAAAGGATAAGCATCCTAATTGATTTCCACAAATGTGTATTTCAAAGAAATTTGATCACTGCATTTAACCCCTCATTTAGGGAGCAGTGGGCAGCTTAGGGCATCACAAAAGCTGGGGTTAAAAGTAATGCTCAGGAAACCAAAGTGGGTTTAAAGTGGGTATTTGCAACCTTCTTGGACTGCCAGTGCTTGCATCCACTTTTTGAGATCAGAGTAAAATCTCTACTTATCAATTAAGAAGAAAATTTGTTTTCGGGAGAAAAAAATGTGATGGCTCCTTAGTAGTGGTTTCAAACAGAATATCAAAAGCTGCTTCTCCTGTTGGTTCAAGATTTCACTTGCAGTTACAAAAAACACCCACTATCAGGCAGTGTTGTAAAGCTTAACAAACAACACTGGTGCTTTATGCCTGTGAACACCAGAATTTAAAAAGTTTATATAAAGGCATAAAAGGGAAGGCAGATTCTTTAGTAAATCAGAAGAAAGGAAGCCTTAAAGCTTTTCTTGGATTTTACAAAAAAAAAAAGAAAAAACAGAAAAAGATGGACTCTGTTAGAAGCATGTCTTATTTACCTAAACAACCAGTATATTGCTGGAGATTTTTGATGTAGAACTTAATGGGTTTTAATCCTGGTGTCATTATTTCTGCATTAGTTATTTTTGTTATTTTTTGAGTGCTTTGTGAATTCACCCTGGGGCTTGTCAGCTAACTACTGGAGACAATAAACCAATATAAATATTGAAAGGAAAGATATGTCCATAAGCAGCCACAATGGGCTCCATGCACAACTCCACTACTTTCTGAACTTAAGGCAGCTCATATATTTCCTGTCTCTCATAACTGGATGAACTAATTAATCCAGGTGTGTTTCTGATATCACAAACCATGACGACAATGGCCAGACATATCTGGATTCATCACTTCATCCAGTAATGAAAGACAGGAAACAAATTATCTGCCTTAAGTTCAGAAAGTAGTGAAATTGTGAACAGAGGCCATTGATATTACAACATGAAACTAATGCAAAGATAAGCTAACCATTGTATGTCTCTATCTGCACACTACTGCCCCCTTCTCTGCTGAAGTATCAGTCTGAGTTGTGCATGACATGTGGCCTGTTACATGGCCACATGTCTATAAGCAGCCACAATGGGCTCCAGGTGGCCTGCTACAAACCAAATGGATATCTGTAGATTATGTGAAACTGACTTTGGTGATGCAATCACTGATAGCAGGGAGATGATCTTGTTTGTTTCAAGCATTAGAAAAGTTGAAACATTAGCTTAACAATGAATGAATAATGAACAATTAATGAGGTTGCTAATAGTTCTGATATTAAAAAATACATGAACAAACAAAGAGACAAATAAATGCATACACCATTTTAAATAAATTGCACTACAAGTCAATAAAGGAGACCTTTTATTATCCAAGTCAGTAATGAGAAAACCTGAAACATAAGCTTAAGCGTAAGCACAAAGGCCTCTCAGTGTAACTTTCTGTAGTGAAATGCCCCTTACCCACCACCTCCTACTAAGTCTTCCTCTCAACGTCACTGTTCAGTTACCAAACAGTGATCCACTACGATCCTGCTGCTGCTGCTCAACCCCTCTGACACTTAAACCCACACAACACTGCTGCCTCATATACACCGCCATATGTTCTATAATTATCCACATAGAGAATCATTCAGCCTAGAGCAAATATTTTCATTTTCAACATCTCATTGACTGACCAGTGTGGAAAGCTGCAAATTGTGGTGACTGGGTCCATTATTATTGCCTCTTTTACTAAGCTGTAAATTGAGAATGGAGATCCTGTTTCCTTTCATTAACATTGTAAACAAATCACAACAATATGGTCCTTGATTGTTTAAAAAAAACTACTTATTCACGAACAACAGATTGGCTGTGTTGTGTAGTTTTTTAATAAACTGCATATGCAGTGCAGTTACTGAATGTCTGAATAAAGTTGGAAAAAATGCTTTAGAGGTAAGATCAAACAAGGCAGCAGTAAAATGTTTGTGAGGCGTTTTGATGCCACATACTGGAGCGTCAACCAGCCGTTAAGTTTACAGAATTACTTCTGAAGAATAGCTGGGGCCCAGGCTGGCATTGGCTTATGCTGGCATGCAAGAAAAATTACTGCATCAGATGAAATCTACATATTTATTTTTATATTTTGGCAAAAAAAAAAAAATGAAAATACAACACATCCTATTTAAGTTCAGATGGCCCCTTGGAAAGTTTTCTCCTTTGTTCTCAGGCTTTTCCGTGTGATTTCAGCAAATAGTTCAAAACTCTTGAAATGATGGGAACTGGTTAAAAAATGCATTAATTTATGTTTTTGCAAAGAACTTTGTGTCTTTATGTGGTTAAATTTGCACTGTAGATTGGGATGTTGGTGTTATATATGGACTGTTGGATTAAATTTTACCATTATTCTTGTGTGGTAAAACATAGCATTAAGCTTTGCCTTGTAAGGACTTCCTACTGCGTTAGGTTTATGTTTTAAAAGTCTGATTATAAGACATTTCCTTTATACAGAAATCAATTTTTACAAAAACAGTGCTGAAACACATGGATCATATAGACCAACCACAGTTTGTACAATTTAATATATTTTCTTTCTGTTAAATAAGTGCAGCTAACAAAACTATAACATGTAAATCAGTAAATAAAAATAAGCAAGTAAAAGGCGGGACATCTGCTTATAGATTGTGGGAAGAACAGAAACGGAGCTGTGGTCCAAAACCTCAATATAAAACAAGGTTTATGGTATTATATGTAAACAAGGAAAAAAGCAAATCTTCCTTATAAAACTGGTTGTTCTGCTTTTAAAATCCATATTCAGTAAAGTACATTATAAAACTAGACATCAACTGTTCCAAGGTTTATTTTTATTGATATTTTATAATAAACAGTATTTAGTCATAGTGGTAAATTAAGTGAGCACCATCACTGACTTCAGACTGTATCAAAAATACGAAGGTGCAAGTACTGCACCAAACATCTGGTTGTTTTTTTTTAATAATCACAAGTTCAATCACAGGAAATAAAGGTCAACAGTCCTATGAAACAATCCAAAAAATACATTAATTTTTCTAATAGTAAAAAACTGACTACTGTAGTGCAATAAAATTGTTAAATTGTAGGCTCTGTAAGAAAATATGCATTGAAGTGTTGAATGAAGCTTAAGCTGGTATCTGATATTCTAGCAGAGATTTTTTGATTGTTTCTTGTTTTTAGAAGTGTAGACTATATTTGATTATCTGTAGCTGATCTTTTCTAATTATTTTGGGTCAAAACTACACTGGGCTACTCTACATTAATGTGAGATTATTTCAAACTGTGATTTTCTATCTTTACTTAGTTTAAAATTACAACTTGAAAGCATAAAAATGTTTTTTATGAGAATAAGAGAACACAGTCAAAGATTTGAGAGAAAAGCAAGCAGATGATTTTTCCAGATATTCCAAAAATCTTTCCCTGATGTCCTCTCAAATGAAACACCCAGAGGACTAAACAAACTCTAAGCTGACATCAACTCTAGTTTGAGGCTCCAGCAGAATAAACTGTACAAATCAAATTGTTTAAGCTGCTTCATTTCAGCAATAATTAGAGATCTAGGTTGTACAGTATCTCACTATTTGGCTGCTTAACCTTTTCCAATTTACTGACTCATAAAGAAGATACAATTTCATAGAAAAAAACATACCTCGTTACTTTGATTTTTTAGTCTGTATTAGTCTTAAGTTTAGAGTGACTAATGTGGTTTCATGCTGCTTTAATTAAGACCTTTAAAGGATAACTTCTTTGATGAAGATGCAGTAGCAGTGCCTCTTAGGGATTTTTTTCTTCTTCTTTTTTTCTGGTTTATATTGTTACTATCTAATATAATGGGAGTTTTCTTCCAAAAAAATGTTTTTGCAGGTGCTGGCACTGCTGGATATGTTCCTCTTTAAGATCAATCTGAGGAGATATTACCATTGCAGTGGAAACTTTACTTATCAACTGAGTCCCTTCTGTAAATAAAAGTAGAATGGAAGATCAGCTGCAGACAGAGTTCTTTCATATCCACAAAGATATGTAATTTTCAATGATGTCCTAAAATCCATAAGGAAAAATGCTAAATTTAAACAGGACAAGGCAACCTGTGTAATTTTTAATTAGCTTAGCCAAAGAAGCTAGGTAGATTAAAAGATCAGTTTGAAAATATGTAAGCAGGCATTAGACACCTTTGACATTGACATTTAGTGCACATTTAAATGTAAAACAATATATATATATATATATATATATAATTTTATTAATCCACTAATTCAAATATAGAGACTTTTGTCAAATGTTAGATAGTTTTTCTTAAAGCTTAGTTTGGTGCTGACTTAAGTATTTGCCAGTCTATAGCAAGTTTTAGATAAGATAAGTAACTTTAGAACCCACTTTATTTAGAGCTACTTGCTATTTTTCCATTTAAAGACCTTTAACCACAGACCATTTTCATGGTTTAAGATGATAAATTGCTTGCAACTTAACTAAATAGCCATCATTAATCGATTAGACTGACTTATTAACTGTATAAAAATAAACATTATCTTTATATTAAAAAGTAGCCTTGAAAAGTGTTTGTAATAGTGAAAGGCGTGTGTGAGAAAGCAGGAGTTCAGGAACAGGTGTTTATCTTTTTAGGCATACAGCCTGAAACACAAACACACATTCCTCACACTGGAAACCAGATAATAAACCCATAATGTAGAACAAACAGAAATAAACTCACATATGTTTCCGATTACATCCTCATACTGTAGACTGAAACAAAATACTCTCAACTTTAGAGTTGGACTGATCAGCTCACAGGTGGACATTTAGCTGAACTTGACCAACTTGGTTGTTCAGCCAGAGGGGATGGTTCATCACTGCATTGATTTTGGACTTGATCATAACAAAGCAGCTTAAGAACATCTTTCCTGCTCAGCACACAGTAAGAATAATGGCCTGATTATATCTAACTGCTAATATTTTTAGTTTTTGAACATGCTTGGATTACCATATGATGGGTTCTTATTTTCTATGTACAGTTACATGTAGGATGTGTTCTGTAAGATATAAAATATAACAAGTATTTGATTTTAACAGACTAATAAACTGGAACCTGGAGCTAAGTTAAGTTAACAGCTGCCTAAAACCAATTACATAGCTGTTGGACCTGGAGTTTCACAGAGAAGGCATTCTTCTTCTGCTTGAATAAAACTTGGCCTAGCATATATTGGTCTGGCAAACTAGGTATTGGTATTTATGGGCCTCTCAGGGTCTCATGCAGTTGAAAATGATGTTTTTCTACACAACCTTGTCAAAGCAGAGAACCATGAACCTGAAGTGCACCCAGTCCTAAAGAAGCAAACGCTACCATGCATAAAGTGGACATTACAGATGTTAAAAGGAAAGGTGAGTAAATGTCTATTTTGCTCATTGTCATACATATTTGAGGATAGTTTGTGCCTTTGATTGACATCACAGCAAACATAACGATCATTTTACTAATTCTGACCTTCCTCCCTGCCCTGAAGAAAAGCGATTCCACAGCATGACACAGCAGCAGCATCATACTTCATATACACCTCCACCTTCACCCTGCTGCTTCTTTCTTATATTTGCTGCTTGTGTAACCTGTAGATGGAATTTAGTGACTTTATTTCAACAGTGACTTGCTTCCATAACAGCCAGATTTGTTGAGTAACCATTTGTTACCAATTGTTTGCCTATTGGTTGTATAATCGAAATTTTGGCTGTTTCTTTATCTCATGCTCACTTTTTCTTCACCTGTAGTGTAAAGTAAATTACCACACATTTGGGAATTAAATTTGTCATTTCCTTTCCATTTCTGGATGATGGGCTGAACAGTTCTTTGCCTTGACACATCATTTTAAAACCTACAGTAACAATTCTTTAAACTTCAACAATTAAATCGCTGACCCATGTTCCTTGGTCTTTAAGATGCTGTTGTTCCCAAATGTGCTTTAGCAAACCACTGAGGCGGTCACAGAACAGCTGGATTTAGACTGACGATTAAAATACAAGCAGATGGGCTCTGTTACACTGAAAAAAAAAAAAAATAATGCATCAGTTTTTGGCATCAACTTAATCATATTTAGTTACTTTAACATATTTTTTTTTTCATGTCCTACCCTACTTAACATGAAACAGGTATGTTACGTAGATGCCAAAAAACGGGTGCATTATTTTTTTCATTGTGACTTATTTCAGTTTATGATATCAGGGTATGGGCCTTTTATCCATTACACATTCCATTAAATCTTCAGGCATCCCTAACTTACTGGCTTGTATTACACTTGGTATAAATATACATTTTAAACACATTCTCACATGTAATTCCTTGAAGTATTGTCCCATAGGTATAAACTGCCGATCAAAACATTAAGAAAATATTTTGTGGTTCAGATTACCTGTCACCTGAATAAAAGTACTTACCCTGCAATACAAAAGTGACACCTACTGGTCCCATTAAGGGGTTACACCTAGCAAAGAATACACTATTTATCCCACTAAAATATTTAAATTTAATCTGGGATGTAAAACTATCTAAACCATATCATGCTGATATTATTGGTTAATCTATAAAGATTGTTTTAGGCTAGTATTTATTCTTCATAATCATGTGTGAGCTAATAAGTTGGCGCCTGAAGCACAGCTCTGACAATATTCTCCCTTGTTTGCTCACTGAGCGTGATGTAAGACGATCCCTTTTTAAGTGAAGCGGAAATTAAAGGAAGAAGTAAAGGTGAAACGTGGAAAAGAGTGGAATGCATGTACAGAGGATGGAAAAGTATATGTTCAATATTTAACATATATAGGTTTCTCTGAAAGACTTACAGTCTGGATTAGAGCTGAGATAAAAACAGATAGCAGAGATATCAACCTTGTGTCCATCCAGTGACCCAGAAAGATATTCTGACTAAAATAAATGAGAGAAGACCAGAGGCAGTCTGAGGGTCTTTGCACCATCCTCAGATTGATTTAGGATTTGAGTGACAGCTGGAGCACATAGAGAGATGAACACAGTGCTTCTTGTTGGCAGCTTCAGATTGGAAGCAGATGTTGACTCTGCTACTGTTAGCAGTTTGGTTGACTGCCAAACTGTTTTACAGGACTTCTACCAGCACATTAATCTCACCTAAATACCTGCTGAGGTGCTTAAATCTACCTCAGCCCAAACTATCATATGAGCAGTAGTTCATAGCAACTGTACCATCTGAGAAAAAAAGCCCAATTCTTTAGCAATTAAAATATAATATTTTTGAGAATCACGAACAAGACTTATTTATCAACGTATTTTAGTGGCAATAAGCCTAACAGAATATGCACCTCAAACTCTAGCAGGATATTCTTCATGAACAGCTAACAATGTTATAATATTACTATTATTGTAACTATCTGCAATACTATTTTTATCTTATTTACCAGGGTAAATAACCACTGATCATCAGCTGTGTCTGTGTTTTGGAGGAGGTGGGAAGAGGCTAACATTAATGCTTTAAGGCAGGGGGGTGTTGTTCTTAATCCTGAGTAATTATTACCAACTAAACCTCTCAGAAAGCTTATTGCCTTGGTGAGTTTATGAACAAATGTGTTCCTTTTAAAGTATTATTTGAATAATTAAAGAATAGCAGTAAAATCTAAAGTAAAAGGAGAACTAAGATCAGAAACGACCTTAAAATGCCTTTCTGGTTTGTGTCCAAAGAAAGCTCCTGATAACTAAACAGTGCACCTGTGCAAGTAAAGGTTCAATGAACATTGTCAGTAGGGAGTAAAAATGTTTTAACATCTTTCAGACATAAAATCGTAAGTAAAACGAGAGAGAAAAGCTGCACATTATTCATTCCCACTAGGAGCCTAAAGAAAACTCATAGTTAATCCAGAAAAATACAGTCTGCCTCAATTGCCCAGATTAGTTGACGCAATCGTGGACCCCAGGACCCCTGCTGTTATCTCTCTGTTTTTGCAGACTCGGTTTCCTTTTGATTAAAAACTGATTTATTTCTGCTCAGACAAGCTAAATAATCAGTCTGTCTCTGACTACCAGTTTCAGACTGTCTGCACACAGCGTCACCTCCAGGCAACCAGTGGGAGCCCACAGCATTACACCCACGCACTCACATTCATTCATCCATAAAATAAAAAAAGAAACTTTCATGCCTCTTCCTTTATCTACTTTTTTAAATTATTAGCAATTTTAAGTAAGAGAGAAAACAATAAAGGAATACTTAAACAACAGATAAAGCTGGGTTGCAGTGCTTTTTGTAACATTATTTCTTTAAGATTTATTGCAGCATATTTGCGGAAATTTAGAAAACAAGATTAATTTTTTTACTTTGTGATTCAAATTTTTTTCTATCAAGTCAGTGGGGGAAAAAATTCAGATACAATGAAAAAAAGAATCATGCTTGGTAAAAATAAATTAAGAAATTAAAATAATTGATTTGTAGCTTTGGGAAGTTAATTCCTGTCTAATGATGCGCAACAACGTTTGATTTGCACTTTGTGCAAAAAGCGCGTCGTGCTGGTAGATAATATTCAAACACAGGGAAGATGTTACCAGTTGTTGTTGTTTTTTTTTTTTGTTTGTTTGTTTTTTAACAAAGTTGTTTATTTACACCAGTCTGTGTCTTCCTGTCAGAAACATCAATGCAACAGAGCAGACTCTCCCATGCAGACGCCGCTCTGCCCCCCTCCTTCCCTACCGACCCGACTAACCCGCTGACTCACCTGGGGACGCTGCTGCCCGGACACGACGCACCGAGGACCGGAGGATGGGACAGGTAGCTATTCAACTCAGACACAAACAAACTTGCATATATCAAAAAAACTAACCCGGATTAGAGACGGTCGGGTTTAGATTATCCCAGATCAACCGTTGCCTTGGCGCAGAGAATGAGCGCTTGGACGTGAAAAGGTCTAACCTCTGATTTACGCACTGATGGAATGCAGGAGCTGAGGGGATGTGTGGAGGTATTAGGATGCCAGGGGGAAAGCAGCCTAGTAGGGGAGGTGGAAACCGCACCCCCTGCTTCTGAAATCCGAACATGAGAGACTTGGAAGAGTTTGGGACAAAAGTGAACAGAGATGCTTTCAAAATTTCCTCTTTCCCAAACTCTAAGTAATAAATGACAAGTTTTCTAATTCCTATATTCTAAAAGTATTTTGGGTACGGTTTTGAATAAAATGATCCTTTCATATAATTGCATGTAAACCCAGGCTGGTCTGGTTCTTGTGCAAACTTTATTTTGGGGAATGGCCCCTCTTCCTGTTTTACAATCTGGAACACCTGTCCAGTAAGCCATGCTTAAAACCTTGACTCCACTACTTGACACCTGATCTAAAACGTTTGGCCCTGGCAACAAGTGCAGCAAAAGAAGGATTTTTGGGGAGATAGTGGACCCCCCCCACCCCCCACCCACCCGGTTTGTCCTCAGTGTTTCTTCTGTGACATACCAGAGTCTGAGCTCACAACTTGTGGCACGTTGACCTTTGAACAGTGCACTGTCACCTTGGTGACTGACCACACACAAATACATTCACACACACACTCAGAGTCATTAGTGTTTAAACCGGGTCACTGGGATCATCCTCAAACATCAGCAAAACTGTTGCTCTACTGCTCAGAAAGCAGAGTCTCTTCAGTGAATGTCCATGTTAATATTCATATAACAAATTATGAATTTTTAGTTTTAAGTATACAAAGACTGTTTAGATGAGACCGTTCAGCTTCTTTAAATACTTGTCTCCTGGTATATTTAAAATGTTTCAATTCAACTGATGGGGAAATTCTGAAAGGGTTAAAGGAACATATAAGTACTTGTAACTCATGAAATTATTTAATGCGGTAAACCTTTAATGTAAACCTTTCTTTTTACTTCCTCTAAATGTATCGTGTTTAAAGACTGCCCAGTCTTGGGATAATAGTATGCATGTTAAAACAATCTAACTTTTGTTTGAGCATACAAAAGTTAAATTGAATGAATGCACCTTTTCCTCCTTGTTTGAACCTTCTTTAACTACTATGCCAATATGTAACCAGTGAATTTCTCCGCTGTGAGATCAATAAAGCTCACCTAATCTAATCATCTAATCTAATTTCTGTTTTGCTTATGTTTAAAAAAGGAAAAAGTGAAATTTAGAAAACAGTTTGTGTTGTGCTTTCAATTAAAAAAAAATGTAATTAATTTAAAATACTACTTTTTTTGTTGTTTTTTTTTTTTTTTTTTTGTTCTGGGGATGTTTTCATTTATTTCACAAGAGCTCCAAATCTGATAGAGTGAAGATATAACAAATGTGAGAGGATTAAGAAGAGAAAAGGAGAAAATATTTACTCAGAAATACAGAAGTAGGTGTTTGACATTAAACTGATGGGTTGCTGGTCCAAAACCCTGCTCCATCATTTCAGGGTTTGTGTCTTTGGCCAAGACACTTCCTGCCTCGCCCATGTTTGATGCTCACAGGGTCCATATTTGTAGCCTTCTTTTTCAGTGTGTCCCAGGGCCCAGGGCTGCTGGTTAGCACAATTAGCATGATAATGTAGGTGTCAATGTGTGAAGGACTCATTAAGTGCTTTGGAGAACTCAGTCTTGTTAAAGTGTTTTGCTGTCTCTAAAATTAGGTTACTCATTCTGTTTTTTTTATATAGACATAAGTGCCTTTCCTAATCATGTTTTATCAACTGAATTTGTAACAGGTGGACTCCATTAAAGCAGTAGAATCATCTCAAATATGATTAGCGGAAACAGTTTGCACCTCAGGTCAAACCAGAGCTTCACAGCAAAGGCTGTGAATACTTTTGTTGATGTGATTTATTAGGTTAATACATTTGCAAAAGTCTCAAAAACATTTTTTTCACATTTACCAGAAGTGTCAGGTGACAAAGAACAAATACTTACCTTGCTTAAGAAGAATTTGTGGCTACCTGTACTTTACTGGAGTAATTATTTTTAGGCAACATTTTACTTCTACTCCGTACATTTTTTGCAGTTATCTCCACTTTGTATTCCTTACATTTTAAAATAGACTCATTAGTTTTGTTTTATTTAAGCTAATTTTTGTTATGAACTGATGGCCTGTATTTAAAAAAACAAAACAAAAAAAACATCAAAATTATTTGCTTCATCCAGACAATTTCTTTGTCCACTTCTGTTCTTCACCACATTTTCAGGATGATGCAAAGTTAATTTGACACTGTTACCATTAGTTATAAAACAAAGAAACTTGAGTATAAGGAAATTATCATCCAGAATTGTAGAAAAATGTTTCTTCAAAAGTAACAAATATAGCATTTTACTTTTATACTTTAAGTAGTTTTTAAAATTGTACTTTTACACTTTTACTTGAGTAAAAATCTTAAGTTGATACACTAAACTCTACTAAAGTAAACAGTATGATTTATACTTCTACTTGAGTAATAAACATTAATACTTTTCACACCCCTGACATTGCCATAATAGGATATATCATTTGGAATTTTCAAGAAAGAAAGATTTATTCAAAACCATTTCAAACTAGCACAGCATTTTACCTCATATCGTGACCGACACCTATTGCTAAAATTCGCAGGTCTGTATCGCAACTTTTGGAGTCCAATGCTGAGGCTGTCAATAGTTACTGCTGCCACCCTCTGGTTTAGTGAGGGACTGCCTGTTTCCTATTTAAAACACTATCTTAACAATGTTAAAGAATCCTTAAAAAATAAAAATAAAAAAATGCTGTATCTGGTTTTTAATCTGAATCATCACCAAAATTTATTTGGGTTGTTCCTTGGCATGAAGCGTACCTCTGATAAAAAATTATTAAAAATACTTTCATAACTTTTCAACTTATACTGTACACTGACAGAAAATTTGACAAACTCTCCTAAAGCTCCTCTACAAAGGTAACAAGGTTGCAACATAATTCACTGTAAAAAATACTGCTTGTTTGAGAAAACCTTTCAGATACAGTAAATATTCCAAGCCAAACTTTATAACGAACTTAATTTTAAACAAGTTGTTCAAGAAAAATTCAACGTAAGAAAACAAAAAGATGCTTTTTCAAACACATTTAATTTGACCCATGTTAACAATCAAGATAACTCGGTTTTATAACTTACATTTGCAATTTAATATTAAACTAAAATGTAAAAAAGGAAACTTAAAAGGATACATAGATACATAGAAATGAAGTTCATACAGTAGCTGTATCTTACTGACAGCATTCTGATTTAATTAGGAGACTCGGCGCAGGCTTTCAAGGCTGCCAATTTCTGGGAGGAGCAAGAGAGGCAAAAGAAGCTCATGCAGACCAGAGCGTCACCATTCTGCATGCTAAAGTCGCTCAGAAATCCTATGGCAACGAGAAAAGGTTTGATGCATCTTTGGCAAGATATTTATTCACCGTTTGAAAATCACTCTGTAATGCAAAGTCTTATATAAATAGAAAACATTTTAGAAAATATCGAATAGTTTACTCATGACAATTCTTATTCAATATGTCATTTTACTGAATCTGTTTGGTACATTTTTATCTATTATTGGTTTTGTCAGTTTTGTGTTATTTGAATTACTAGTGTGAATTTATCTTTCTTTTAATAGGAGGGTGTGTAAACTTTCAATTACAACTGTATATACAGTATGTGTAAATGTAAACTTTTCCATCAGGTTTTTTTGCCCCCCTCCTTGCGTTTACATCGGAGGTCATGGATGGAGAGTCATGCAGGATCATCTCAAAGGTGGAAAACTAAAAACATTTCAGTTAAGATTTGAAAACCATCCCATTTTATCTAAATCATTTCTTCTTTTTGACTTTTGATTTTCCTTCCCTAAAATTTTTATTTGCTCTCCAGCAGAGGGTTATGGGGATTCGGTTTATCGGATATGCGGTTATATGTGTCTAGACACTTCAAATCAGACACAGGCAGACACATTTAAACTGGTCTTTGATGAGCAACCAAACTCAAAGGTAAGAAAGCTATGATCCAGTTTTTTGAATGAATGTGTTCAAAGTAGTGAAAGTGGCTACTTGGTTTTATGATTATAGCAACCTTTTGGCTCTAAATGCTAAGGCAAAAAGGTCATGATTAAACCAACGTTGTGACATTACCAGTATTTCTTAGAGCCTCAGGTAAAGATATGGGCAGAGCTCTCAACTGATCACCTCTCAGTAACTGAGGCTGTTAAACCTAAACCTGTCACAAGAATAAACTAAGAAATTTAGTATATTCAGGAGATCTTTAAATCATACATACTTTCTTCTGTTAATGGTTGTGATAAAAAGTTGCATAACAAGCTTTTTTCAGGAAGTTTTTTCAGGTGACGCTTCCAGGAGCTAAGGCTTAAAAGTCTATTGGGCGCAGACCCGCCAGTCCCACACCATCCCTGTTTATCACAGGTGTTAAACAGGAGGAGGTCATTGTGCATAACTCTAAAAAGGAAAGGGAAGCCGGGGGGCACAGCTTGAAACAACCACAAATAAATATCAGTAAACAATCCATGCAGATATAGAATTTAAGATGTTTTTATGAATTAATATGGTATAAATATGAATGAGGCTTCATGCCTACTGTACCCCAACTACTAGAATAATTGATGAAGGATTAGAAAACAACTAGGATAAGATGTAGCTTAAACATGACCCTCTCACCATATTAAACCTTATAGGTACGTAGGTACTCTGCTTTGCCAGATCATCTAGGATTTTTGGATTTGTTTTTTTAATGAATTACACCTGTTAACCACTCTGTATTTCCTGTCAGCTCTTACCACCACATAATCATAAATGAAATTACTCTGCCTAAAGACACAAAATAATGTTGTGAATTTATCCATAAATTTGGTATGTTATAGTCAGTGGTAACCTACGGAAGCCAAGAGCGGTCGTGTCCCTCAGATACTTTTTCACAGTGGTTTTCTCGAAAAATCTTGTTAATTTTCTCATTATCTGAACATAATTAAAGCCGTTTTCTCGTGATAATGACATGATAAGTGTGTGTTAAAACTGATTACATCCTTCAATACCACAACAGCGGGAGAGGATTACGGTAGTAGTATAAATCATAGCAGCCTATGTGTACTTCTGTAAATAATCCCGTTTTTAACTTTTAGGTAACTAGACAACGTTGTTGGTTTGATGATTTGCTTCTACTTCTGATTCATCAGCAATTAAACCTATGCCTTCGGCACGTTAGCCCCAGGGGTTTTCTGAACAGCCCAGGTGTTACGCCTGTAACAGTTATTAAATGCATTAACCCCCTAAATAATCAAGATTAGAGATTTTTGTAAAAAAAACAGTCAGTTTTGTTTCTCCTGTATTCCATGCAATCCAAATATCCACCACCACCTCGCAATGAGTGAAAAGAAAAAGGAAACAAAAAAACGGATTATTTGTGCACACGCAGTGCTGCGACTGCACAACTACAGGCACCATGGGCATGAGGCTGTTGGCCAGCCTATTTCATTACTCATACAGATTAATCATCTCGTTATCTCAAGAAATCAATAACTGTTTTCCGTAGTAACCCCTGTGCTGCCTGGATGTCCTTGTTAGTATCAGATAAAATCATCCTTAAAGGTATGATATAATGATACTTAATTTAATTTACTGTGACCACCAAATATACATATATACATTAAATTAACCTCTCATATAAACACCTAGGTTAAACTGCATTTTCTTTTTGCTCTCTTGGGTGCTGTTGCCATCGGTAACCATCAAATAACACAGCTGTGATTTATAAAGGAAAACTGGTTGGTTTTGTGTGTGGACATGGTTTTTCAAATTTTAATGTGTTATTGGTGAACTCCATTTTTGTACGGATGTCAAGCAATGTTTTATAAATGAGACCACTGGGGTTTACCCTTGCAAAATTACTAAGGAGGTCATGGGAGTTTGGCTGATAAGTATTTTGTAGGTGTAATGCAGATGTACAGGGTATCAGGGATGCTTTTAGAGACCATCCATGAATTAAGCTGAAGCTGCATCAGCACTTGAAGCACAGGGTAAAACAATTTTCTGTGTGGGCTCAACCTCTTTACAGATGGCAATTAAGCTCAGTCCTGGTTATAGTCATGAGGAGGAGTACAAGGTGTAGTTTTGGAAAAGAAGGGATGTTTTTTTTTTTTCTTTTACAGATGATGTAGTTTGGTTGTCATATTTGGGTCATGACCTTCAGGCTGTACTTGAGTAATTTGCAGTATATTGTGAAATGGATGAAGCTCTGAACTTTAAGGTCACGGAACTGACACAAGTAGATTCCTCTTACTAGGTTGATAGGAATCTCTATCTCAAAAGTAGAAGTTCAAGTGTATTTACTCGTTGTCACCAAGTGGTACTAACATGTTATGTGGCACTGTCTCTAACCCTGGTTCTTAGGACTCACTTTTCTGCATGTTTGAATCATTTCACTATTGCAATAGACATGCAAGGCTGGATTAGAGATAAGGTAAAGAAAGTTGTCATCTAGGAGCAGGCAGAAGAAGGTTTGCTGCTTTTCAACATCTATGGCAATGGGCTGAGGTATTTCAGATGTCTAAACTAGACGCCTCTTAGACATATATTTAGAATAGTTTCTTAGTTTAGGTCAAGAACATTTTAGAGGTACTATTTGGGATCCTTCAGAATAAGCTAGAGAATGCCCATGGGCAAAGGGTAAGTGTTGATGTTCTGATGGATAGATTTACACACAAATTGTAGATTTTAAATCCAAGATAAAACCCCCAGATCGAATATGAGCGGGAGGTATATGCTGTTCAGTGCAGCGAGGAATGCTCTCATCTTTATATTGGAGAAACCAAACAACCTCTCCACAGACGCATGGCCCAACACAGAAGAGCGGCCTCCTCTGGACAAGACTCTGCAGTACACCTACACCTTGTGGACAAAGGACATTCTTTTGAGGACCAGAATGTCCATATTCTAGATAAAGAAAATAGGTGGTTTGAGAGGGGCGTGACGGAAGCCATCTATGTTAAGAGAGAAAAAACAACTTTAAACAGAGTTGATTGACTCAGATTCCAGCTTCCAAAAACATAAAATTCAATCACAGACATGATCCCTTCCAGATATCACCAAACGCCCCACCCCATCACAGAGGAACGAGGGACCTACCCGCTCCAGCCGGTGAACAATACCTCCTTAACGACCGACTCTTAACAATCATAGACAGGTTTAAGGTATCACAGGAGACAGACCCCCCCCTTAACGGCAATCCCCCCCTTAACGGCAATCCCCCCCTTTAACGACCGACCCTCAGAATCATAGACAGGTTTCAGATTTACAGGCTAACGATGGAACCTAACAACCCATTCATCGGTTACCAGCATGTTTCCAAGCGATACAAGGCTTTGTCTATATAGGACTCAAACTCACTGCGGATCCAGGCTTTTGAATTGAGAAAGCTTCCTGGAGAGGTGGCGAAACGTCTTCAAATTTTGGAAACCAAGTCCAGTGGTTTTTTATTTTTATTTTTACGGAATGACTATGACCTGGATGACTGGGAACCTTCATCAGCATATTTACTGGGGATGGTGAAACAGTTTCTTGTGTTGCCGCTGCATAGGCATGATCCTGCATTGTCCTGGAGACTTTTATGCATTTTTTTTGCTCATGAAAATGTATCTGATTATCAGTGGGGGTAATAATACACCAAAAATGGCATATATATAAATGCAATCAACGATTTCAGGCAGTAAAAAGAGAAATAGTTACAGAATATCCTTGAAACTTCTTGTTTAGAAGAAGCTAAACCAATTTCCTGAAACAAATGTTCAGTACTCAGCCAGAGTTGTACCAGTTTATGTTTTAAATTTCATCGTATAAATTTAAACTGTGACTGCCTTTGTTCTTACAGCGGCTGTTTGCTTGCGCAAAGTCTCTCTTCATCTCCGATCAGGACAAGAGGAAGCATTTCTGCCTGCTGCTCCAGCTTTTTTTGGGCAACAGACAGGAAGTGGGATCCTTCCAAAGCAGGATGATCAAAGTGATCTCCAAACCTTCCCAGAAGAGGCAGTCCATGAAGAATGCTGACTGTGAGTCCTGCTTTACATTTTAGGAAATCCATCTGTTTTTATTAACTTTAACAACAAAGGAATGCAAATTTCTTATATAACAATAAAACCTAAATCGTTTTACAAAACAGATCCGCTGAAAACAAGAAGAAAATGAGAAGTTTCTTGCAAAATAATTTTTTTTTAAGTGTATTTCAGAACTATCAACATATTTACACAGAGAAGAATAGACATGTAGAGGAGGAATGAGTTTGGAAATAATGTATTTAAATTTAAATTGTTTCATGATTTTATGTCTATTGCGTCAGAAATGCCCTAATCAGCGTAAACGGGACAAATCAGATTCGCTGATTCGCTGAAACGTTAAATTAGTTGTCTTCCGTTTTTTTAAAGGTTTGATCCCTCCAGTAGTCTGGACTTTAGAGACCCACTTATGTGTTAAATGTTGTTGTATTAAGCATGACCGTGATTCAGTTTAAGTTTCTGTGTCGGTCGCCTACGGACTTGCGTTTCACCATCCAAGTTCTCCGATCTTATGACTCTTTATGCTTTGGAAATGTTCCTGCTTTAAAATTACAAAATTTGTGTGCCAACATGTGTTTTCTGATCTTAAGAGTAATAAGATCAGGTAATTTTGCCATTGGTACAAGGCATTTAAGTAGGAGGTTGCTATATGTGCAGTGTGTTGGCTGAATTGAAAGGTTTTAAATGTACAGTACAGCACTATACAGGCAATTTAACAAGTCATTAAACATCAGGTTTCTGTAAATATGGGATATGTGTGTCACTGCTTAATGCCTTCTGTTGGGACAGAGGGCATCTGGAATACAGTAGTAGTTTTAAAAACTTTGCTTTAAAGCTGACTGAATTTCTAAAAAAAAAAGCACTGATATGTACAAATTTACATTTTATTATGAATTTACCAAACAATAAATATTCCTATCATGCAATTTTTTCAAGCATAATATCACTTATTAAGAAATACTGTCAGGAAATGAACAATGCAGTTATTATGACTGTCTGCACACTGCTGCAAAAATCAAGCATCTCCTTAAGTAGGAGTTCTGAACTAAATATCGAATGGAAAACAATTTCTCTTTACAGAAAGATTGGAGTTATGAATAAGTGCAGTGTGTCTTACAGTGTGCCTTTATATATTTCCAGTGTGTATATCCTCCTTCTCCAAAGTGGCTTTGTTCAACCGTCTACGCTCACAGACTGTCAGCACTCGTTACCTTTCTGTGGACAGAGGAGCTTTCATAGCCAGCGCCAGACAGTGGACAGCCTTCACCATCACCATGGGTAACTGTGCCACTGCATGCGTGTCATCTCTATAGTAGTTTCAAAGCATATATACTATATGTTTAGATAAGGACACATACTGTTTATGTCTGTTTATGAATACAGACTCATTCTATTACATTTTTATTTAATAGAATAAAATTCAAATTATATCAATAAAATACCCTGTTACAAAATTTTTAGCAGACCTTTAAAATATTACAAATTTAGAGTGTGGAGAAACAGCTTTTTCTGACATGTTCTTTTTGCACATTCTGCACTACACTCCATCATCATAGAATAGAATAGAATAGAATAGAATAGAATAGAATAGAATAGAATAGAATAGAATAGAAATACATTTTTATTGTCCTAAAGTAAGAAAGTTCAGGTTTGTCAGTGATAAAATAGGTTTTCCCACATAACCAAGTATCTGATCCGGTATCAGAAAGAGCTCAGTAATGTTAAACACATAGGAAAAATTTAATTTGGTGATAAGGTGCTACACAAAAATAAGTATACAGTTAACAAAAATACACTTGGAAATAGAAATTATGTAATAAACAAATGTGAAATGTGTATACATTTTATGGGAATATAAAAATAGTATAACCATTGCACAAAAATTCTTAAAAAATATACAATAACAAAAATATGCACTCCAGTCAGATAGTATTTAAATGGACTGAGATATTCCTATTATTTACAATGGGAAAGGGCCATGAGGGTAGCCAGTCCTTATTAATGGAGGCAAGGAAAATTGTATTTCTTTGCACAATTCACTATGAAGTGCTTAACGTGAATGAAACAATAAAATAGAAGGAAAATAAAAGCAAATAAAGATAAAAACTTAAAAAAAAGCAGGTAGTAAACCAAATAAAAAGTTGGACAAACTTTGGAAAAAGGAAGTTATTGTTTTCTATTTAGAAGTTCATAGATATTTATTATCTAAAGTGATCTCATCTATAATTATAATTAAATAGAGCATTAGTTCTATTAATTTTTTGTTCACACTTAGTAATAAAGTTTAAGCATCAGGGATTCCTATTTGATAACATAACCTCACCAACAGAGTTCTGAAACTAAAATATCTCAGATAGAAAATGAAATAAAAATAAAAGTAACATCACAGCAACACTGTAAATTTAGGCATCTAGAGGCACTAAGCATGTAGCTTCCAGGTTTAGTGTTAAATAAAACAGTCTTTATTGACATTGAAATGCAGATAACTCCTAAATAAGAAATCATGGAGTTACTTATAAAGATAAGGGCACATTCACCCTCTAGCTTAAATCCTACATCAGAGAGTCAGGAAGATGTCAAAGTTCATATATCTGTTGTGTTGGTTAAGAACAGCTTTTAGCTTGGTTAGCTCATGTGTTTAAGGGCAGCTCTTATTGCTATAAGATGGTTCTCTTGGTCATATAACACATTCAGAGAACATTCAGTGATGGATCAACCCTCTATTATGTAGGTGAGTTTTAGAGAAGATCAGCATCAGCATCAATACGTGCCAAGCACTCTATATTGACCTGAAAAATCATTTAATATCTCAAAGTAACCAACTATTTGGTAAATATTCATGCAGCATTGCTTTAAAATATCTTACCTTAGACTTACTTTATAGTGTCTATCTTTAAAAAAAAAAGTGGATTTTTGGGTGATTATGGGTTCTATTTTTCTTATTTTTTTTTTTCGTTCTGTATGACATGATTTGATGAATAAAAGGATGTATCCATTTTTAGTTTTTTTGTGAATTTGACTGCCATTTTGTTTGGACAGTACTGTACTTTTTGAAAATTCTTAGCCCTAAACTCAAAGCAAAGATTGGTTTAAGCGTTACCAACTCCAAAATGTGTATTTATCTTTACAAGAGGTTAAACATAAACTTCTTGATGGATTTTAAAAGAGGAATTATCTATGCAATAAAGTAGCATCAAACGTCTACCTTTCATTTATCAGACAGCTACCTTCACATAATCCGGCCACCCTGCATTAATAGACACTGTGTCTGTGAGCAGGTATTCACCAGCATTTTTCCTCTCACGAGTCTGGTGGAGCCAACCTAAAGGTCAGGGAGGTTATTTATGTAGCACAGCATTTAATGTGCACAGCCTTCCCACCACAAAACCCTCAGCTTCAAGTGATCATCCATCAGCACAACTCAAACCATCTCCAGATCATTGTTTTGTCTTCTTTGCTGGTGCAAAAATAACCTACTACATAAGAAATATATATAAAAATTTGACATGGGTGGAATTATTTCTATAAATAGTCAGATGAAGTTCTTATATGTGTTTGTAGTGGATGACCAGCGTGCTGACCAGGGCGGGTTTGTGCTGAGTGAAGGCTTCATCTGTTATGGTTCTGTGGTCCAGTTAGTTTGCACTGAGTCAGGACTTGCTCTGCCACCCATGGTAATGAACACACACACACACACACACACACGCACACACACACACACACACATTAAGGGCATGGGCCTCAGTTTGCATGTCATGCCACAGCTCCGCTTTCTGAGAGGGATTTATTATTTTATATTTCAGTATCAATCAGCTACATTAAAGCTTTCAAAATGATCAATTTGGCAAAGTTAATACGTATATATCTTACAGAATTAGTGTTGGTAAACCATAATTATTCAGTGGTTTCCCAGTTTCTGATAAGAAGAACCTCATTAAACCTTAGATGAGCATGTGACCATCTGGACCTGTAAATATTTTTCCCTTTTCTCTCGTCATCAAATATAGGTGATACTGAAATGTTGGAGCAAAGTCCGTTATTTTTAGCAGAATTGGGCTTTTCTTTATACTTTACCCCTTTAGCTGCTGACACAACACTCTCTGCTGTGGGTCTTGTGGAAGTTGGTTAGGATATACTCTCACGCTACACCTCTATATGTTATTGTAGTCTGGGCTTATACAGCACTGTCAGGTTAAAGTTGGAGAAATTATGCCTGCTAAGTTGTTAACGTGACAAGATCTTGGCTCTGATTGTATTTGTGGTTTGCACCCAAATAGTAAATGATGAGGAGGGCAGATGTATGGACCATAAATTTAACCAGATCAACAGACTTCAGCATTAATGCACCATGTTTAATATACTGTGTGAGTTGTGACGTCTGAGATTTTCTGAGGTTGCAATTCTACAGTGTTAATATTTCTAGTCCGACTTCAAACAATGAGCCTCCAAAGCTAATTGAGAGAAATTAGAATTTAGGAATCATATGGGGTACTTTTAGTTAACATGCTGTATTTTTTTTAATGATAAACATACATTTACGAATAGAAGATAACTAATTGTTTGTTTTATAGGACATTAAATCAGTTGTTTTTTTTATCACAGCCATTCACTAGAAGTTTAAAGGTCGTTGGTGTTCAATAAGATATAGAGTCAAAGTGGCAGACAGGGAAAGGCTCTGTGGCACTATATAGTAGAGACCCTAAGCCTGCAGCAAAGGAGGAGAATTGAAGTCAACCTTTAAACACTCAATTAGCTGTTTTCTATATTAGTTATAGATTTATGTGTCTATTATTTTTTTTTATCAACCAGTTATTCCAGGAATAATTACTGTTAGTAGATTTATATTTCTAAATAAAAGTTTTTGAGTAAAAAAAATCCCTTATTAAGCATTTTACTGATTGTAAATAGCAGAAACATAAAGATATATGCACATATACATGTATAACATTGAAAGACTTTTAATCTTAAATGGAAAATGTTAAGATTTTTCTTAGGTTTTTCCTAATCCCTCCTATACGTAGGTCTTTGAACAAATGGCATCATCTAGAGTCTGTGTACTGTTGCTCTATGTGATGATTGGTTTTGATTACCAAAAAAGTTGATGGTTATTTCAATAACAGTTTTAACTATATTGTTTTAGCCCTGCTTTCAATCACAAAATGACTTGTTTCCAGCAAGCCATTTCCACGCTCCATTGTCATACAACAACTCCTTGTCTTCACTCATTCCATCCACATGTTTCTCTTTTTTATATCTATTATTACCACACAATTCTATTTAATACACAAATGAATTGTCGCCCCTGCTCAAACAACAGGCTCTAATTTTCTCAACTTGCAAGCTTTTCTTAGACTGAATTTAGTATCCATTCATTTACCCTCCTGATTTCCTCAAATAAAAGTCAGGAAAATAACTACACAATGTCTTGCTAGTAAGCTGAGTTTTCAAATGTCACAGCATCTACCAGACCACCCAAGAGTTAAGCTCAGTGAAAAAATTCAGTGTAACTGGCTGCACTGCTTACTTATTCTCTTTATAATCAGCCACTTGTTTAACCAGAGGCAAGAAATCCAAAGTTTTTTTTTTTTGCCATTAATCCATTCTTAAGGCTTGGGTGTCTATGATAGAGATTTGTTATTATCAAACAATATCGAAAATAAAATTATTTAATGTGCTTACAGGTTTTTTTTCCCCCCTTCTTTTTTAAATACTGTCTGCCAACCTAAAAGAGACTGAGGGGTTTAAGAATGTAACTGCTTTTATTTAGCTCTAAACACATCTGTTCATGTTTAAACCTTACTGCACAGCTATATAATGCATCTTTAGGAGAAATGTTGATTGTTCCTTTAACTCAATAAACTAAGAAAGGAATGAGATTTTTATGGAGTTTTTAATGCCTATAGGTGATTCGGAAGGTGAACAAGCAGCACGCTATATTAGATGTGGATGAACCCATTTCCCAGCTCCATAAGTGTGCCTTTCAGTTCAGGGACAGTCCCAATGCTTATCTGTGCCTAACAAATGACACCATCATACAGTACCAGGTAAAACATTTCCTCTTACTATTTTACTTCTTTTATCTACATCTTCTTGAGTTGTTTAGTTTTTCCTATCTCTCTATGTCTACATCTCTTGTAACTTCTCCTCCACCTTTGTCCTTCCTATGAGGCGCCGTCCAGCATCAGGGACTCCAGCAGAGTGGTGCTAAATGAAGGATCCTGCTGGACCATCATTGGTGTGGAAGTGGTTGAATTCACATTTAATCAGGGTTTGACCTGCCTTCAGAGTCCAGTTAGTCCTTTCCCTGTTATTACTGGTTTGGAGGTGAGTTTATCAAGCAATGATTTCTTTAAAATGTAAAGCAATTTTTTGTCCCTTAGATTTTCCAAAATCAGTTTTATCCCATAAAGTTACACATTAGCACTCAGAGTTTTGTTAAAAAAGGACATGTTTTTGTGTATAAAACAATTAAAACAGCATCATTAGTAGATAATGTATGTTTTGAAGGTGAATGGTGGAGGACATGTTGCCATGCTGGAGATCCATGGAGAAAATTTCAGCCCTCACATCAAGATGTTGTTTGGCAACTGCGAGGCTGAGACAATGTTTAAGTAAGTTGAGGTATCCTGATAATAAGAAGGGTGGGATAATCAGATAATAATAAAATAATATGTAAAATGAGGGAACACGTCAGATAAAAAATAATAAAGTGCTTTATCAGGCAAATATGAGCAGAACAATGCTCCATTTCTAAAATTAATAAGAATGATGTATCTAAGATGAGTGTGCTTCAAAAGTTCTTCATTTGAAAGTAGTTGTTTATCCGCTTGTTGAGGATAAATACAATGGATAATTATTTTGTTCAAATGTCCTTGATGCTTTTGGATAAATCATGTAGAAAAGGTTGTCCTTGTGAACATGTATGAGCTTTTTTTTTACAGTAGCAAGACTTAAAGCCTATACATATTGATTAGCGCTGTTTGATAACTAGATCAATTGGTATTTATTTGTCTCAAAATCTGTCTTTTAAATTATATTCTATTGACCTGTTTTATTTACTATTGCTATGTGAGAAAACATTTTTGAATTGGCTCTATGTAATGAGACTGAGTTTGAGTGAACTGATTCTGAAATTTTTCCCTACAAAAAGACATATAATAGAGATATAATACATATGGAAATTAATCTCACTTTATTAAGTACGTTACATTTTTCCATAAAATCCATTATAGTAATTTAACAAAATAAAATAAGCCACGTTAAAAGAAAATTAGCCCTAAATGCTCTTTTTAATCCATTTGATTATTTCTTTGAAAATCTAAATAAATTAAAAAGCTAGCTACTCTAAATAGAGATAAATATGAATTTGCCTGATAATACAGGCTTATTGTTGCCAGCTGTTTGCTAGTTCTTTATAGATTTACTTTAAAACCAAAACGTTAAAATGTTAAAGTAAAAAAACTCCCACGCCAAGTTTTCGTTCCAGTCTGATCTGCTATAGACTGACTGGTACCTCATATTAGCTGAATTATTGGGATATTGAATGTCAGAGTTTTTATAAAACAATTATTGACATACATTTAAATTATTATCGTTAGATCATTAATATCAATAGCTTTTATTTGAATTCATTTTCTTATTTTTTTTTATTTCTTGTAAGTGTTGCTTTTCGGTTCTGTTTCTCATTTATTTAGGACTATATGTTGGCTATTAGAGAAGGGAAAGACAGCTTAGCCCAACAGATTCCCAGCAGTTATGACAGAAATTGCTGTTTATCTTTTCCATAATCTCTAACACGCCGTCATCTGTTTAAAATGACCAGGAGCATAAGGAAACTTTATTAAAGCGAGCAGCTGAGCCTGTTTAATGTTTCTGTGGGAGCTCATAATTCACAAGACGGTCCTGCAGACTTGACAGCTATCATCCATCCCCTTACTGAATCTGAGACAGTATGAAAGCAGCTGTTCTGACGTAAGAACTAACCTCAGATCCCACACCTGAAGAGCTGGGAAGTCGTACTTTGGAATCCCTGCCAGAGGACAGCTCACCACGGGTTTCTGCAAATAATCCTCCCAGGAGCTTGGTCGTATCTACAAAAGCCTTTTGTGAATAACTTAGCCACCCACAAACTTCTCTTTGTATAAAAAGCTCCAACCAGTCAGATACATGATCTATCACAAAAACACAACCCCAAGGTGTCATTTCCTTATTAATAACAGATGACTCTCTTTTTATTTCCTGTATATCCTCTTGCTTTATGCAATGCTTTTATTTTTTTATTTACTTAAGGCAAGTAAAGAAAGAAATAATAAAAAGGAAGAAAACTTATCTGAAGATACATTGATGTAAATTATTCAAAGCTTTGAAATGGTTTTTCTTTTTACATACAATTTTTTTCAAGAATCATAAACACTATACCTGTAAGACAAATTTAAAATAATGCCTTGGTAATAACCTAACCTTTATTGAGTCTTTAGTTAAACAAAAAAATGTCTGTTTTCCTCTGTTTTTGTTACTTCTCTCCCTTTAGGTCTCCCAAGTCCCTGCTCTGCGTCATTCCTGATGTTTCTGTTTATAGTGACGGCTGGCGCTGTCTACGTCGCATTATCACCCTTCCTTTGTCCCTCATCAGAACTGACGGCCTCATCTATCGCTCATCCTACAGTTTCACCTACACCCCAGAGCTTCACCTGCCTCCACCTACTAGAGGAGCAGCAGGAGGCAGGGAAGGAGGGGCAGACAGAGGCCAGGAGGACGAGGAGGACATCCTGTTAGAGACAATTCATCAGGAATTCACTAGAACTAATTTCCACCTCTTCATCCAGAGTTAACCACTTTGTTTACAGTAATATAGCCATATGATCAGTTACTTCTCAGCTTGCTCTAGTTAAGTTTTATTATAATGAAGCAGAGAAATAAGGCATGCATTCTGGTCCTGTTGAATTGACTCAGTTACCGTACTATACCTGTTAGAGTTCTGTGAAGGCCTATTTCTTCTTCGAAAAATATACGTTAAAAAACTATTTTCCAATATAATATATATTTTATGCTTTGAAAAGTGTCACTTCTATTACACTATCAACATTAGTACTATGGTGGTGTTTCAGTTAACTTACTCTTCAGGATGTTTCAGATGCTGAAGTTTTCATTTTTCACAAGAACAACTCCCAGTCAGAGTTTCTCAATGGCACAATTTACATGCATCACCCATGCACTTAGAACAGATCACATATTCCCATTTTCACGTCTAATAGTAAACCAGTGCATCCTGAGCCATGTTCTGTTTTGAAAGTTTCACTGGCTCAAAGTGCATGAAAAATATCCACTAAAAAATATCCACTAAAAAATA